CATAAATTCAACATATTTTTAATGGGATCCTTATTTAAGAATAAGATCTATTAAGTAAGATCTTGTGGTAGAGTGTTGACTTTGCCATAGTGTTTGACACAAGCAACCACCCCCATACCCACTCCATGACCAACCCACACCCCTCCCCACCATACCTGGTCATTCAAGAGTACTTTTCGCACTCATTTCCCAAACATTCCCATGTCCTAAGAGTTGGACAACCCACCCTCACTCCTCACACTTCCTTCATTCTCTCATTTTTCCTTCAAGGATCACACTCCAAATTCTCTCACCATTCTCTCTCAATTTCGAGACTTCCAAGGCTGATAATCAAGCTTTCTTCCAATCTTGGTAAGTACAATTCATTCTTCTTTTGATTATTACACATCCTTCTACTCAAAATCATAGAAATCTTACACCAACATCGTCACCTTCATGATAGGTTCTTGATTCATCAAGGCATCTTCTAAGTATTCTTGAGTTGAACACTTCTCTTCTTCAGCATCCATCCTCTAAGAACACATAAGGTTAGTTCATACCCTTATATTTTCACGTTTTCTTAAGTTTTAGGGGGGGGGGGATACAAGTTAAATCAACAAAAACACAACTAAACTCTTCAAACGACATTCATCAGAAAAGTTGGACTCCATTCACGGACTGTTTTGGGCAACTTAAACATTTTATTTTTCAAAAATGTACTAGGTGAAGATATTTCAAGTTCTTAGCTTTAAAGAGAATACTTGCACATCTCCATAGGATGTTTCTACAATTTATGGTGATTTTTACAAAACTGCATATCATTTCAAGAATGAATCTGGACCAGTCTGTGATATTGGACTTTTTCACACAAGTTGGAGGTCACTAAAAATCATAATAAAATTTATGAACAAACTAGACTCATTACCAAACTCCCAGAATTTACGGATTTTGATTTGGACCTTTGATAAGTTTTCTATAAATTTTCTAAAAACAGCAATAGAAAATGTTAACAACAAAAAAATGGTATCAATTTCATTCCACATTGTAACTTGTTGAGCAAGGTGTATATCATTATGTGATCATATATTATTACATTATATGCCATTTTTTCTTGGTAATTAGACATATATCAGTAGACAAATAGATTTTTACCTTCTCAAGAATGGTAATTAGTTTAATGTTATAAACAAAGTTTACGTCCATGGCATTCAAATATTTGATAAACTATGGAAGTATAGTTTATGTTGCTTTTACATTATAAACAATTATGATAAAATATAATAGTTATAGTTTATGTTTCATTACATTTCAAACTCTTTACCAAAGGTTCTCAGTTCACATAAATCTGTTACTGAATAAATTTGTGAGACACTCGCTTCGTGTTACATCCATGTAATAAAGTCAAAAGTCCTATAAATTGTAACCAGAGTCTCTTGTAGGGAGAACGTGATAGTTGTGTATAGATCTATATTGGGTCTGACAAACCCACACCTGAGCTGCATGCAACAGCTACACCAGCAAGTCTGAGGTGACAAGTGTCATTTAACTTGCGACGCCTAAAGAACATCGTATTACGAGGCCGTCTGAGTCATAGTATGGTTATGATAACTCACATTTGGTATTAACAAACATAAGATTAACGGGTTTTACTTCTAAATTTAACGAGTTTATGTCGATTTAAACTTGGACAAATTTCCTTAAGTATGGTAAAACACTTGTACATTTCGGTCTTTACTTTTAAGATTACAATGCATTACATAAGAAAACATGGGATTTTTCTTGAGCAAACCTCACTTTTACAAGGAAAGGATTTTAGCATCACATTCCAAAGCTTATGAACTCACCAACCTTTTGTTGACACTTTTTCAAAACTACTTGTATTCTCAGGAAATCCATAAACAGGTAACCAAGTGCTTTTGAGGATGGGACGTAAGGCGTCATCTTTGTCAACATAATGTAATTGATTTGGAAACATGTAAACTCATGCTATGGTTTAACTTTTTCAATTATATTTATGTTGGTTGTGTTTACTTAGATCACTATTGTAATTGTTGTTTTGATACTATACATGAAGTCCTCCACCCCCGGACTTTTCCGCCATCCTTGGTTTGGGGGTGTGACTGATTGGTATCAGAGCACGGTTTTATAGTGAATTAAGTATATCAAACCACATAAGATATACAAACTATAAACACATTTCGGACTAAAAGTCTCTGAATTGAAACACTTTTCAAGTGGTTATACTTTTATAAAATAAATAGTTTTCTTGTTTAAGTTATACATACATGCTCGCATAGTGTCATAACTAGGGAGAACATAAAGTAAAAGAAGAGGAGTTGAACACTACGAGTACGCCTTGGTATGTGTAATCAGTTCTGGGAAGGATATAGCATGATCAATATATCCGTCCGAGAAGTGATTTACACATACTAGGGGATAGCCGTAATGGGCAACAAATCTAACGACCTAACTTCAATCTACAAAGAATGCTCGACACTACTAGAAAAACAGCCTTTTACGACGCTCATTGCGCGTCATAAAGGGCTCAGACGATGCGCAAATGCACGTCAAGGAAGGCCCTGTCATAAAGAGAGACGACACGCATTTACGACGCTCATTTACGACGCGCAATTACGACGTGCGTTTACGACATGCAATACGTATCAAGAATGGCCCCGTCATAAAGAAAGACGACACGCATTCGCGTGTCGTAACCTTACGACGCGCGTGTTAATGACACACAATGCGTATCAAGAAAGCCCCTGTCAAGAAAGGCCATGTTATAAATGAAGATGACACACATTTTTGCGTATCATAATTTTAAATTTTTTTAAAAGAATATTATTTATAGAATTATTAATTTTCAAATAAAATTTGTATTTAATGTCTCATAATAGAAAATAAAATATCATATACAAAAAATACAATCCATTGCATAAAATTTAATGTCATATAAATAATCGTTCCATGGAAAGATAAAACAAATCAATAGTTGTAGCAAAAATTTACAAACTAATTAGATATAAGAAATATAAAAAAATATACCCTCAAATGCTTTTCAAAGTCTAATCTCCATGTCAGCTCTTCAACTCACTTATCCAGTTTGTCCTTAGGTTCTCTAAGGGCTCCTGCATCTCTTGCAGTTTCAAAGGCACATAGAAGCTATGAACTTGCTTTATTAAAGTCTTTCTTTAACTGCAAAACCCTCCATCATATATATAGTCTCCTTCCAATGCTTCCTTGGCTACAATAGTTGTCTGAACATCTAAAATTTATAATTTTTTTTTAACATTTTACAAAATTATATTATATATAATAAGCTTCTCAACAACTGCAAAACAGAAGAAAAGAAGGTTAACTGGTTAAAGGTAAAACAAAGCAAAAGTTATTCAACATCTATAAATAATTAAACACAAATAAAAATTTTACTTGAATCATAAGTTAAAAATTATAAAATAGACTTGACCTCTGGGTTGTGGTGAGGAAACATTAGCATTATTTTTTTTTTCATTTTTTAGCTTAGTGAGCTTATTTAAACTTTAATGAATACATTGAAAATGAATTCGTTGCTTTCTTTCATATTGATCAAAAACTACCTCAATAGATCTGGAATTAAATTACCTTGTAATAGAGGAAATTGACTAATGCCTTCTTTCATATTCATTAGCAAAAATAAACTTCCATCATGATAGAACTAGGGGATACCAACAATTTGAAAAATAATATGATCATAAGATGTAAAAAAACCATCAAAATAAATGGTCATCAAGATACCCGGATCATGATATTTAGCACCCAACAAACCTAGATTGACAGAATAGGCAGCTGGAAAAATTCCAGGATGGACAAGGCTTAATTCGTGTAGGAGCTTTCTTAGACCTATCAGCAACATAACAAGACAAAAGATTCTTATTATCAACAAAGGATAGAATACCAATGATGCCGGCTAGAAAAGAAAATGATTCTAAAATTTATAGAAAAACCAGCACAATGATCACAAGGACTGGACCATGGTGTTTGGAACACAACAACGAACCTACATACACAAAACATAATTTTAGTATTTCTAGAACCTATTAAGGATACCATTCATTGTAAGAACTAGAAAAGGATGAAAAGTTTCTAGGAAATCATATGGACTTACAGAGCTGCAAGGGTGAAAAGTTTCTTTCTGCAAATTACACCACACATTTCCGAAATAAATAAACCTCATCTTTTCAGAAAGTTTCATGTGGAACTGGCATGAGGCTTTTACCTTTTGCCATGAAATGATCACTGAATTAAGGATTTGCAAAAGAAGTCACATAGGGAAAAAGGTCCAATCCAGACCTAACAGCAAGAAAACAAGACAAAAAAGTTTTTATCATGACTCAAACTGATCCAAGATGTCAAGATATAGACAAGAAAAAAAGCAATTATGCAACTAAAAGCCTCATAAATAATGATTAAGCCTTGCAAACTAGCCTGGACAATGAGGCGATTATACACCAATGAAACGCCATAGCACTAATTTGCAGAACTTCCATCACAAAATAACACATAAAGCTGAAACAAGGTTTGTAATTTTCACTTCACAAAAGCTTTACCGAGGGTATCCTCTTCACAAATTTTTTTACAAAAGCAAGATTACACAAAGGGATTGACAGAAGAGACCTAGTTGGAAACAAACCAGAATGAAGAAGGCCTATTCACATTGGAGCTTTTTTAGACCTATCAGCAAGAGAACAAGACAAAGATTTTTATTATCAACAAAGGATGGATTACGAATAATCTTAACTAGAAGAGAAATGATCTTAAAAATTATAGCAAAACCAGAAAATGATCATAAGGCACTGGACCATGGTGTTTAGCACACAACAACAAACCTACATACACAAAACATGATTTTAGTATTTCTGGAACCTATAAGGAAACTAGAATGTTTAGAGAGAATGTTTAGCATGTATGAATACAGGTGTAACAAACTATGACCTGAACTACACGAAGCAATCAAATCATTGTATTAAGATATTCTTGGTCAACTAGAAGGGCTCCATCAGTTTCAACAGGCTTACTTCCACTTGACCTATAGGTAATGATCCCACCACTTCTATCCATGTTGGATCCATCTCCTTCCCCTCTTCTAGAAGACTCATCCCTCCTACTTCTTGGGAACATACCAAATAGTGTCCGATATAACGACGTGCAAACCTCTCTCGCAACATATTTGCCTTCGCAACAAGAGCAGGTGTCAAATTAGCAAGAACCGCATCAGATGATGTTAAAAGAACCTAAACATATAAACAAATATCAACCAATCAAATAGATGATTAAAAAGAAACTAAAAGTACAAACATACCTCTTCCCTTAGTTCTGAAGGGAATGTGGCTATTATGGATACAATATCTATCTCCACGGGTTGACCTTCCAATTCATGGGCTCGGTGAGCCCCTTGTGCTTGTTGCTGTGCCAAAACTTCTGCCTGAATGTCTGGAGGAAGTGCTGCAAGGAACTCAGGGTCTATGTCTCCATCATTTTGTGGTTCGATGGTTGCAGGTGGCTGTGGCACCACCAGTTCCTGTCGGCCTGAAAGAACCTCATCACGTAACTCTTTGGGAAGTGTATCCAGAAATGCAGGGTTGATTGGTGAAGAACTAGCAGCATCACATGGTGCATCCTCCACTTTGGTATGTTTCTTGACTAACCAGGTGATTCTTGGGACTCATTTTTTGTCTGTTGACCCTCCTCCACTTTGTCTTGATCAGAGGGCTTCTCAGGAGTTGGACGCCTCAAATGAGAAACCAACAAATCTTCAAGGCCTACAGGGATGCTGGATGCGTTAGACCCACCACTTTGTTGGTCATCATTCCACATGCTAAGACAGTGTCTATGCTGTCCATGGTGGGCGTTCCTCAAAGACTATTATCTACAAACAAAAAAAACCAAAAACCAACTTAGTTAATAGACAATACCTTATTTCTTGTTAGTATCTCTTCAGCATCATCATTCCCTACACATACATTATTGTTTTTTTATAACAATGTTCTTGATATGAAATGAGGCATGAGTTGCAAGAGTTTACCAATTCCCAAGTTATCTTCAGCTCCAGTAAAACAAGATCAGGCTGCATAAAGAAAATGTTCTATTAGATTATCATATAAACAAGAAGATTCAACTATCAAAAATCAAGGACATACATGAATCCGTGTTGTCCTGAACAAGCTCTATAAGCCATTTTAATGCTCTGCTATCGCTGAAGAAGTGTCATCCTATATAGGGAACCATAGCCAGATATTTATGTACCCAAAGAACATAGAGAGTTTATGTATTTGAATTTTGGATAAAAGATTGAAGCACAAACACAAACAGAAAGTGCTTACGTCTCCTAATTCAAAATAAAGTCCTGGAAGAGCTTCCATAGTAGCTACTAAACCAAATCATAGAAATAAAAATGAACTTCGTAAATTTTTGACACTTGATCAAACTGGGATACATGAAATGCATTCGGTGTTGATTTGCATTGCCTCTAAGAGGGAAAGAAGAAACTTTTAGGTCCTTAATGGTATTCAATTTCTCAAGAGCTTCAAGAAAATTGCCTCTATGAATAGAAGAAAGCAACAGGTTAAATGGATGACTTAAATTTAAACGCTTCTACTCAGATAATTGAAGTAACACTCCCAGTGTCAAAAGGAGTATGGATTAAGAAAGGAAAAAATTACCTCTCAGACAAAAGGGTCGACATCGCAAGAAGAACCGATCCCTTGGAATTACCATCATGCTGATTGGATTCGCACTTTCTAGCACCAACAAACCCCGCCCCTGGCTAAATTTTCTTAAACAGAAAAAGTAGTTATTTACAAATAATAAAACTATTGAAAAGAATTTTTCATTATTTTATTTATTTATTTAATTGTCAAGGTTTGTTTCCTTGCAGCCAATTTTGTTTTGCCTAAGAGCAAGGATATGCATGGGACTAATGAGTATTTTGATCAGGTGACTTTGTTTTTACATTTTAAAAACATAATCTTTGGCCCGGTGATAAGGCCTTGAACTTTGTCATATGATTTTGGTTCTAAGTTTAAAAAATATACAATTTTACCTTCAAAACAGATAAAATTGCAGAAATTTGATCTAAAGACTTGTTATTTTGTTCAAGAAGCATCCCTATCTCACCACCAATAATTGTAACCAACAGCTAAACTTGTTAAGAATGAAAATCCAAAATCCAAAAGTAGCATCAAAGACATATAATCTGGGTTAAAGTTGAAGAAACAAATTTAAATTTTTTAAAAATTTTATTATGTTTTATTTTAAGTTTTCATTTCCTTAATTAAATTAAAATAGAAGATAGAAAATAAATTAGATAGGTAAGAAAGTTTGTCACTTTAAGTTGTTCATATCCAAACCTTTCAATTTTTCATACAACATACAAGAATGTGAAGAATTGATGGCCAAGGGCATAACAGAAACAGGGCGAGGATTTGATCTTCCTGGGAGAAGATTAGTAGGTATTCTCATCAACAACAAACTCCATCATCACTCTGCCAGAAAGCCTTATCAGCTGAACAAAATAGAGCTCAGATGGGGACACTGTTGCCTTCTGGAACTGAAAAGTCCACTCTTTCCCCTTTATGTCCTGAATTCTTATTTGTAAACCTTCTGATTGATTAATAGGAGAGAAATACGCCTGCACAAATATAAAATATTTCAATCATAAAATTAGACCATCGAACAAGATAGAAAAAAGAAAAACCAACCGCCTAATTCTATCCGCATCACTCGCACTCAGAACCTTCTCAAATAATAGAGTAATAGTGCAATTGGAATTCAAGCTGGAAGATATAGTTAAGAAAAAAACAACTTGTTTTCTTTCAAATATATGATATTATAATGGTTGAAGATGAGAAATGAGTATAAAAAAATAAGGATACTCCCGAGATATTTGTAACAGTTCTTGATCAATTATCTTTGGCCAGTACCTCAATAGTAACTGATTCTGATGTCTACCTTCAGCAGGTGGTCTAGCAACTCTTTTTTCCGAAATTGCCCCTTTGTTTAGTAGTGGTGGTCAATGCATTATTACCAGGAGAATAACTTAAAGATGGTTGAAGAGGGATTGCTTCATATAATGATTTCAGACCTAAATCTGTTATGATATTATTATGATGATCTGGTGCACTTTATATATTTTAAATAATGTTAGTGAATTTTTTTTATTAAAAAAGAGTTAAAACAGAATTAAAACTCAAATAATCTTATAAAAAAGAATATACATATTCTTCCATGGCATCTTCATGATGCATCATATCCTGTCAAGCTGGTTAGCAAAAACTCCCTACCAAAAGAATTAATAAAATTAGGATTATATTAAATTTTGTTTTCAATTAACACATGCATACCTTTCCAATTAACACATCAATAGGGAGTTTTGCTAAATGATACCCAAGAGGTATCAATTCTTCATCACCTTCAACAGCATCAACCTCATGTAATAATGAAATCGCTGAAGTAGTGGCTTCTTCTGTTGAAGGTTCAAGAGCCTAAGACCATGATTAACCACAAGATACATATTATTATTTAAGGGGGGAAAATGAATATCAACAAGATGCTTGATTATGGGTAAATGACCATTTTACCCTTTTGTATAAAAATAATGGTAAATAGCAAATGACTGTATTTAAGAATTGCTATAACTCACAGTTAATTTTCAAAAATAACTATCAACTATTTTATTTATTTGTTGAGATTTATGTAATTCAAATTCGAATATTTTATAAAGACGTTCAGATTTTTAAACATGATTATCATGAAAAAAAAGATTCACCAATCTTATTAGTTAAGTTGGTTCAAATTGGAAGAAACGTACTTAATCAATAACTCCTAATACTACATATATGAACTTACCTTTTGTAAGAATGGCATAATTGGACCAAGAGATATTAATAAATGGGAAGAAATACTCACCTGGTCATCAGAAGAAGGTTGTATGTGGTTGCTTTTTCGGAGGAAGAAAACAAGTCGAACTGATTGATGAGTCGTTGACTATAGATGGGAAGTGGAAGCGGACCAAAACAACTAAATAAGGTATTCGATCAAAATAGGGTCGGGACACAGTCTCCGAGATGGTAACGCTGATGAGTCGCAATCGTCGGTGAAGTGAGGCGAGCTTGATGAGGTCGCCGACCGGTAGGATGAAGTGTTGCAGTCGTACTCTAGGTCGATCGTCTGGAGAATGTTGACGTGAAAAAACCCTAGTTATCGTGTGGGGGGCTTTAGGGTTGTTATGGGATGCTAAGGGTTTGGTTAGAGGTATTAGTGGAGTGAACAAGGGATACCGAGAGATGATCGATCGAAAAGGGGTTTTAAAAATGGACAAAATGTTTCTTACCAATTAATAAGCCCTAAATGATTCTTAACAACTATATTGTCGGAAAGTAGGGTAGATGGGAAGAGGAGTGGATGAGGAACACTATATCTCTGGTTGTGAGCATGAGGAGTCGCAGAACCCTAATAGCTAGCTTTGCAACGTTCGTCTTTGGGAGCATGTACAAAAGCCCTAGTTGCTGGTCTCCATTTTGTGATCTTCAGGAATGAATGGAGTTTTTAAGAAAAAAGTATAGAACAATTATATGAGTTGTCAAGGTTTATAGTAGAGATGGTATCGTGATTAGGGTTTGCAGAGAGAAGGGAAGAAGAGAACGAAGGGAGATCTTGAAGCGGGGTATTTAAAAATTTTAGAATTTTAAGAGGATTTCCTCAAGAACGCACGTTTTGAGTAAAAAACATAAAGCGACATTCACAGAGGACGCCCATTTTAGATAAAGTGCCCTCCGTGTTTTTAAGTTTTTTTACATGAGACACTAATTTAGGGGCACACAATAATGCGTGACCTAAATCCTTAAATTTTTTGAAGAGATGACACTTTTTTAATATCACTCTCTTTTGCGTAACATAAATCAATGAGTGTCGTGGTTTGCACGTCGTAAAAGGGTTTTTTTTCTTGTAGTGCGAAAAACCAAATATAAACACTTAAAATACTATAGGAGTATTTTATGTTGCTATAGTGCAATATTATTATTATTATTATTATCCGTTGCATGCTTCTTACACCCCTATTCTCACATAGACGACATGGCAGGATTCCATCTACCTGGAGACCCTTACTCCCCTAATGAGGGAAACACTGGATGGATCAATGTAGAACTCGAGGAAATGATCGAGGAAGATCCTAAGGAGGACCCTGAGGAGATTGACGAAGAAGAAGAACCCGAGGAGGAAGATGAAATGGAGGATGAAGAAGAAGAATCTGAAGAGGAAGAAGAAGAAGAGGAAACATAGGAGGAAGTCTTCAACCCTCCTTACATCGCCAGGGTGCTTGTGAACCGTTTCGGCCACAACGGGCATGATCCCCGTTGGGCAACAGTGATCGAGAAGTGGAGCCAACAACAACACCAACGATCACCATATGGCGACCAACGTGGTTACTACGACCTCAGCCACGGGGAACCGGCTGACAGAGCCGTCCCCGTCATGGTCCAGCATATCACGAATTTGGGGAACCAGAGTAGGGAAATGGCAGATCAAGTTTCGAATCTCAACGTTGTTACGACAGCCACCGATGCACGCACCAGGGAGTTGGAAAGGGACTTCTATCCAGTGGACCAACTTATCGAGGACCTTTCTGTCGCTCGAGCGGAGGTAAGGGAGTACCAGGTAAGGCATGCATCTCTCGAGGAGAGAGTGATCATGGCCGGACGCCGGATTGTGGAACTTCAGGGAGCCTCGACCTCATCTCAGGGCCAACATGGACCAGATGCCACCCACCGCGAGTAGTGTTTGCATTGCTCATGTTTTGTTATAAAACTAGGATTTCGAGTATGCGTTGGTGCTACTCTTTCTTGCGAATAGGTTGACCCCCAATTAAGTGATTACACTAGTCAAAGGGCTTTTGTGCTGCCGAAAATTATCCTTTACATTGATGTAATGTGGACCCATATGAGGTCAAATTTTCCCCAAAACAATATGTACTAAAAGTTTATCCATGAAATTGGTATGTATTTTATTTCATTGGATGTTTGGCACTAGATCTCACTACTGAACTCATAAGTTTATTTATATAGATTTCTACTATGAATTTGTTGCAAACATATGGAAGTCGGGAAATACTATACTTAAAAACTAATGAACTAATTTCACAACACTCGACTTATATCCATATCTAAGAGACTTATAACCATTTCATCTTTGAAATTCTATGATAGAAAAATGCCACCTCGTAGATCTGCTAGACACACTGAGAGAACGCAAACAAATTCACCCCCGCCGCCTCCCCAGTATGATCCTGTTATGTTTTAGGTTGCGGTTACAGCCGCAGTGGCAACTGCTATGTCCCAAATCAGCACTGACGATGCCAGGAGGA